AGGAAGGAAGGAAGGAAGGAAGGAAGGAAGGAAGGAAGGAAGGAAGGAAGGAAGGAAGGGAGGAGGAAGGAGGGGTGCTGGGGAGCAACTTGGTATCTCAGTTCTGAATATCCAGCTCCAGGGTGGGCCTCCAGCAGCCAAAGCTCTGACTCGCACCTGTCAACATCAGGGTCCCCTTTCCTACACCCCTGCTTCCTGTCCCCCCTCCCAACCTCAAAGAATCTACTTCACAAAACCATTCTCCTCCTAAATCCTTAATCTCCAGACTTTAAGTCTTTCCTTTCTTGGACATACAGTGAATTCCCTTTAGGGCATAGACCTTGGATGAATCATTTCCAGGGTGTCCAACTCAGTTCTGGAACATCCTCTTCTATTCTTTCCAACAGTAAAAACAAACAGTGGCTCTCCCTGCGAGGGAAAGGAGAGCTCAGGCTTCCAGAGGATGAGAGAAAGTGTTTCATTTCTTCCAGATGGGTCTAGAGCAACAAAAACAAATTGAAGATAAATATTAATAGATCTCTATCCTACATTAAATCACAAACACATCCCTATGTTACAAATGTGTTATGGGCTGAATTGCTCCCCTATCCCCCCACCCACCACCATTTATGTGTTGAAGTCCTAATCCCTGATACCTGACTAGGACCGTATTTGGAGACAGGGTCTTCACATAGATAATTAAGTTAAAATGAAGCCATTAGGGTGGGCTTAATCCAACATGCCTGGTGTTGTTTTAAGAAGGGGGAATTAGGAAACAGACCCAGAGAGACCCCCACCTGAAGACAGGAAGAAAGCCACCTACAGGCTCAGGAGAGAGGCCTCGGAGACCAAGTCTGTGGTCACCCTGATCTCGGACTCAGCCTCCAGATGGTGACAGGATCGATTTCTGCTATGAATCTACCACATGGGATACATCTACTGTAGGCGCCCGGTCTGTGGTACTTGGTTATAGCAGCCCTAGAACACTATTACAATATGATTTCTGGGCATAATACAGACATTGTAGCAGGAGGCTTATAAATATTTGCTGATTTATAATTATTGATTATTAACAGAGGGATTTAGCTCAAGAACTAGGGGCAATGAATTGACTTCCTGCTAAAACTAGTCCAGGCAATCTGAAAACCAAGGCCGAAGACAGAGCCTCGCTGAAAAAGGCTCAGGGAGCGTGAGAAAATGTGGTCAAGGAGAGCATCTTTGTCACTGAGACTGTCTGATAATTACTCATGACAAGCAGCTGCTGTGAAATCTTTATCATTCAATTTATTTCAATTCCTCTGGAAATAATCGTAAAACAGTCTCATTTTCCAAGAGAGAAAAAAATAGCAATCCAACATTTCAGGCCAATGATCTGCACGCTCTACCAAGAAAACAGGAAAGCACGCCTGGAGGTGGCCGGTGCGGAGATCAAGCTGATGACAGCCCGAGCAGCGGTGGCCTTGGACCTGACTGGCCTGGGCAACTGTCCGTGTTGAGAAGTTCTTCAGGCCATTTTGAACAATGCAGAGGAGTTAGACGACATGGGGGCTCCAAGGCTGACCCTGGCCAAGAAAAGCCCAAAGATTATTTCAATCCAGATGGTTCATATCTGCTCCTTTTCTGTCTGTCACCTCCTTTTAGTCACAGCAGCTGTGGGACATTTCTCTGGGAAGGCAGCAGCACCCTGTTTCACTGGAACATGGATTTGTGTGAGGTGAGAATGCTGTGTTCACAGCAAATGTGGCAAAAAACAGTGGTGGTGTGTTTTTCTTCCCCAAACTTCAGTTTCTCAGAAAGCTATTTATGAAAAAGACTTAAAACCTAATAGGAATGAGACGGGGTTATAGAAACACTTATATATTTGCACCTGTACATATCCCTAGGACGAAAGCTAAGCTGTCAGAAAAACAAACAATGATAAACATGAAATGAATGTTAAGAATCCCCACGTTCCGTGATTTCCACTCTTTTTATTTTTATTTTTTATTTATTTATTTATTTTTGAGTCAGAGTTTCACTTATCACACAGGCTGGAGTGCAATGGCATGATCTTGGCTCACTGCCATCTCTGCCTCCTGGGTTCGAGGGATTCTCCTGCCTCAGCCTCCCAAGTAGCTGGGATTACAGGCACCTGCCTCCATGCCTGGCTAATTTTTGTATTTGTGGTAGAGACGGGGTCTTACCCTGTTGGCCAGGCTGGTCTCAAACTCCTGACCTCAGGTGATCTGCCTGCCTTAGCCTCACAAAGTGTTGGGATTACAGGCGTGAGCCACTGCACCAGGTCAGTTGATTTCCACTCCTAACCAGATTTGAATCACCTGGGAAATTTGAACTCTGCACCTGTTAGGGCTGCACTCCCTGAGATTCTGATTCAGTTGATCAAGAGAGGGGCACTCTGAGCTTTTAAAAGAAAACACATATTAAACCTCCCTCCAGATGACTTTAATGTCCAACTAGGTTCAAAATATTGATCTGTTTTACCCTCTATGCTTTGTGGATGAGGAAACTGAGGCCCAGGGAAGAGGAGTAAACTGTGAAAGGCCACGCAGCTAATTAGTGGCAAAGCCAAAAATAAAACTGGCGTTCTGCAGCACAGTTGACCTTCAGAAGTTTACTTAACTTCACCTGGTAACCTCAGTTGGCACACCTGTTTACTTACAGTGTTCGAAAATCAGGAACAAAATCTAGACACTTTTAACTAGTATTGATCTGACATTTGGAGTAACATTTGAATGGGTACTGATTTTACAGGTGGTCAGTTATTTAATGAAGATTTCCTGACATAACAACAAAAAAAAAGGCTTCCTGATACAGGCCTTAAAAAATGGTAGCACATGGGAACAATAGACACCGTGGGTTACTAGAAGGAGGGTGGGAGAGGCATGGGTTTCAAACCTTCCTACTGGGTGCTATGCACACTGGCTGCGTGCAATATAACCGTGTAACAAACTGCACAGGCACCCCATGTCAAAAACAAAAGTTGGAATTGCAAAAATAATTAATTAATTAAAAACAACAAAAACTGGTGACAGTGGGTGCGGTGGCTCATACCTGTAATGCCAGCTCTTTAGGAGGCTGAGGCAGGTGGATTACCTGAGGTAAGAAGTTCGAGACCAGCCTGATTAACATATTGAAACCTCGTCTCTACTAAACACACAAAAATCAGCTAGGCATGGTGGTGGCCTGCTCGGAAGGCTGAGGCAGCAGAATCACTTGAACGCGGCAGGGGCAGGTTGCAGTGACCCGAGACCGCACCATTGCACTCCAACCTGGGCGACAAGAGCAAAACTCCATCTCAAAAGCAAACAATGTGATGACTTGGATAATAATTGCTTATATAATGAGAATACCCTACACTAGGTGATATGTTGTCCTTGTGAATTAATATGGAAATGGACACCTGCCATGTTTGCGGGCAGAAAAACAGGTTTAGAATTCCACCCACCCCTGACGACTATTCTCTGCCTGGAACACCTCTGTGATAACAGACTGACACCCCTGAATACAGGGGCTGGCACATCATGGGACTGGATCGGTCATGATGCCCTGTCCTTTGAGGTTGGTAATGGGGTCATCCTTCTCCCAAGAGTGAAAGCTCCATTTCTACATGAGTCGTTTCTCAGCTAGCCTGGTGTCCAGCAGTTGTCCATGCAGACTGGGTCCAGCTGAGCTGCCTGGAAACCTGAGCTGGTGGTCACAACTGAAAGCGTTATTTAGTAATATCCCCTCTGCCTTAAGGACTCAGTATCTGTGGGTGAAGTCTTCTTTCTCAGGTTTATCTACTGCCTGGCAGCCACAGCAGCTGTAGCTACTTGACATCTTGATGGCTGTCTCTGTCCTGTGCTTTTATCAAAGAGGCTGAGCAGTGGCCTTCCCAAGGAAAAGGAGCCAGGGATGTGTTTTCAGAACAGAAACTAGAGCCCCGAATACTCCAGCTCCCTTTGACTGTATGTTGAAGGATCAGAGCAAAGACATTTTGGTCCTGTTGGGGCCCAGAAAATGACACCCTCAGTAAAGGCCTAAGAAGCAGCATCAGACGCAGTCTCTCCCTGACCTTCTCCTGCCCTCCTGACCCTCCTCCCTCATTCTCTCCTGAGGCAAGTGATAGAAACCAGAATCCGTCTGCCCCTGGGTGGGCAAAAGCCCTTTCCCCCAAGGCCAACCATAAAGTCCAAAAATATGACTGTAATCCCTACCCCTTTGCCTTTCTGTGTGATACTGGCCATAAAGAAATTAAGACCCTCGTTCCAGAAGGGCCCTTCCCCATACCAGAGAGATGCAGACAATGCCTCACAGAGAGGCCACGGAGAATCTGAACAAACAGGCCTCGCAGGCTCTCCCCACCCAGCCTATTATTGGCGTTAGACCACAGCCTTTCTGTCCAATCCCCTTTCTACACGCCTGTCTATACTTCACTGAACTAACACATAAAAACAGATCATTTTCCCTGTATCTCTAGGTCGGTCATTCTGAAGGCTCAACATGTCACACAAAACTGTGATCAAATAAACGTGTGCTTTTCTCATTAACCTGTCTTTGGAATTAGGTGTGTTGGGTACCCTTATGATGGGGAGGAAAGAAACTGCCCCTTTCTGCCCCTGCAGCCCCATCCCTCAGTTTAGAATGATCTGAATCCTTTAGGCTACAGTTGCTCTGCTGCCCAAAAGGGATTTGATAGTGTTTAATACAATTTCTTGGAGCCTCTAGGATAGAACTGAGCTCCTGCACTAGATGCAACAGACCAAACCGAAATGGAGTTACTCACACTGAAGTTTCCCACTGAAACTAAGTTGTTTATCTGACTTTCAAAAAAATCAGGAGCCAGAGAAAGGTAATAGCCAAATCTCCAAACAAGCCAGTTTGAGTCAGCACGGTAAAGAAGTTCCCTCTGCCTTAATCTTTACAAGGAAAAATAACTTTGCAATTACCAATCCGCTTTTTGTTTTCTGTTTTCTTAGGCCTTTTCTGTCTCTAAAGCCAATCTCTGCTTGGCTCATCAAAACACTCTTATAGAATGAGGTGTTGTCCAATTCTAGAATTGCAAATAAATGCCAGATCTTAGAAAAGATTTTTAAGCCAGCTGGGAGCGTTGGTTCATGCCTATAATCCCAGCACTTTGGTTACCTAAGGCAGACAGATCACTTGAGCCCAGGAATTCAAGACCAGCCCGGGTAACATGACCAAACCCCATCTCTAAAAACACACACACACACACACACACACACACAAATTAGCCAGGTGTGCTGCCACACACATGTAGTACCAGCTGCTTGGGACGCTGAGATGGGAGAATTCACTTGAGCGCAGGAGGTTGAGATTGCAGTGAGCCATGATTGCGCCACTGCACTCCAGCCTGGCAACAGAGGGAGACCCTGTCTCAAATTTTTTAAAAAAGATTTTTTAACTGAATTTGTTCTAATTTTGTCTTTTGCCAATAGGGAAATGATTTGTACTAACATATAGGAATGGCCTGCAACCTGAGGTCAGCTCTCTTAGTGATATGATAAGTTGTACAGAGAATTGACTTTTGATTAATCCAGCCGTAGTAAACAGTCCGTATGTGCTGGGGGTGTTTTGTACCAATCCCTTGCATCTGGTGAGGATGGAGACGTGTCAACAGTCCCCAAAGTCAGGTGCAGGTAGGGTGCAGAAGGATGAGAATTTAAATCATGGCCTCCCCACGAGAATGGCAAAGACAAGCTACTTTCCCCTGGTGAAGTCCTCAGGCTGGGTGTGATATTACTGGCTGGTTAGCCCTTGGGGTTCTCGGAATCTGTGTAGTTTCTGCCTTATATCATCACCTCTATGCAATTTTTTACCCTTTGCCATTACATTAAGTTTATAATCTCTTGTTACTCTGTCTGTCGATTAATCACATTGCTGTCCCTTTGGGATAACATGTCTGGAGGTTTAGACCACAGTGGGGCAAAGACAACTGTTTCATGCTGTTGGATCTCAGGTTAAGGATTTTTGCAGGAGAATTTTCCCTTCCGTCTGGCTGTTTAGGCCACATGCTGTAGACAATTTCTGTAGGCAGCCCATTTGAAATTCACAAGCACACAAGGAATGGGCCTCTTCACGCTCTTTTCCTTTCAGAAAGGCAGATGTTTACCGAATAAGCCGGCTGGCTCCACCAACCCTCACTCTATTAGCCTTGATGGCACCACAAAATGAAATTTACAGTACAAGCCAGCTCATGTGACCAGCAAGTTCAGAAGATGGCTGGACGGGTCTGACATGACGCATAGTTACACAGTCACCTCATTCCAGCGCGGCTTTCAAAAGTTCTCCGACAGGAGGCTTTCCAAGGGTGGTGAGTCCAATTTTCCACTTTGACGTGTTAAAAATTATCATGAGTGATACCAAAAATTATTCCACAGATAGTTTTGGGTTGTATGCCAACATAATTTCCTATGCATTAAATGAAATTGCTCTTATAGCATTGAAAGGCCTATATTTTTCCTGTGGAAAAACATACATAAATCATTCCTCCCAACCCCAGCTGTATGGAACTCGTACTCCCTGGCAGTGTGACCCCAGCTAAGTCGATTCCTGAAAACAGTGCCACTTCATTTTTACCGTCATATTTCAGAAAATGGTGGTAAAAATGAAATGGTGCTGTTTTCATGAAGCCTAGAATCATTCAAAAGCTACCAGGCCCTAAACGCTGAAGTTGCATCTATAAACGGAGACATTAAAAGCCTAAATAAATGGCCATCTTGGGAGGATGTATGCCCTAATAGGCTAGGAACGTGTATCAACATCCCAGATAACTCAGCCACTATTATTAGGACGTAAAAAGAGTAGAGATAAAATAGCCAGTCTTCATAGACACACGCCCTGAGAGAGGCATTTGTGTGCGCTTCAGGTGATCAGTGGTGGGTGGAGAAGCACATGAAACTGGGTGGTGCTTACACGTGACTGAATTGTTGGTAGGATATCGCTGGGACCCAGCCTGAGCAACATAGCAAGACCCCATCTGTACCAAAAACACAAAAAATTATC